CAGCATGCCAGATGCTCCCAAAAGGAAGCCCACCTTGTTTGTGTTCAGGCCGCATGTTCGCCGCATCCAGGGAGTCCGGGGGGCGGCGGCGGTCGCAGAGCCCATGGCAGTCGACACCGAAAAGGTCTCGTGGAGAAATCGTCAATCTCGGCTGCAGGCTTGGGCTGAAGACAGGCAGTATAGTCAATTGCATCGGAAAAAGCATCACAGGCTGCACAGGGCCAAGGCATGGGGTTGTATCCGACATGAACGCTGTAAGTCACTCCCACTACAGCTAAGATGTGCGCGCTCTCCGTGGGCAGGCATGAAAAGCACTGACGCAGGAAGATGCAAAGGATCAAACAAAGCGTGTGACAGGCTTGTTTTGCGTCGGGTTGGTACATCCCGGTTTGCTGCCAAAGAGGCAAATTTGCCCTCCTGAAGACAGTGCTACAACTGTTCCTGTCGATGCAGTCATCCGTTCAGCAGAGCACGGCGGGCGTTGCTTGCAAGCACACGGCGGGGTGCTCCCCGGATGGCAATGTGATTGGCATGGGCGGCGGGTTTAGGGCCGGGGCTACGCTTATTAGGTGCAAGGTTTGGCGCTCCAGGCAAGACAAGCTGGTTCCCAGAAGCCCAGGGCGGGTCATTCTGGTCGAGGAAAGCTTCCCCTAGATGTAGCCACAGTGCACGGTTCGCTGCTGAAATCCACCACTGCCTTCCAGCTATGGCTCCAATTTGCCTTTCGGGGTCTCGGTGAGGATTATGGTGGCCTATGTGACGGACACCTTTAGGGGCCGGGCCGGGCGTAAGGTTCTGTTGGTCTTTCCACCAAGTAAGGTCTCTCCACCTCATGATGTGGAAGGTAGGCTGGAAAGGTGCTCTGCCTACATGTCCCCACAAGTTCCATTGCATTTGGAGCGTGTGGGAAGACCATCGCACGATTTTGTGCTGGTGCATAAGGGCTCTCGCCCTGCGCATGGTGCGAATGTGCCACTCATGCCAGCGTTCGGTCGGCATCCTAGCACCGCCAACCATGGATCGAATTTGTAACAGCTGAGTGCTGTTGGTAGCTTGGAGGAGTGAGGATTGGATGGGCCACGCAGGGCAACCCCACAAAGCGGCTTCCCGAACTAGGCACTGATGTAACAAAAGTCTCTCCTTGAGTGGAGCTCGCGAGCACAGGATCTTGCGGTGCATGTGGAAAGACCTTCTGGCACGTCCTTGCATTTCAGCGACGATTGGGGCGACATCCCCGGACATGCTGATAGGCGAACCTAGGATGGTCATAATGGCATCTGGGCCATCAGGGGCTACCTGGACTCCCCCTATCACAAAGCGGAAGGGGTCTTCTGGCGTGTTTGAGATGACATGGGTTTTTTTGGCATTGATCTTGAGCCCCAGAGACAGGAGCGATTTTTCAAGCTCCCACAGGACTTTCTGGACATACTTGGGGCATTCTCCCCATACATATGTGTCGTCCATGAAGGCGGAGCCTGAGTGGGGGGGCGGCTCAAGGTGCGCGTGCCTGCCCACATGCGGCGGGCTACCGCCGTTGACTGCACGTAGGGTTGCATCTAAAATCTCCCCTATGGCGGCTGCGAACAGAACAGGACTGTCTGGGCTTCCCTGTCGCACTCCGTTTGTTTGGCTCACCGTGACCTTGTACTTCTGCACCCAAAAGTTCAGTTCTCGGGCCTCTAATAGGCTGAGCCATAAGCGCGCTTCCCAGGGTTGGCATCCATTGCAGGCAATCTTGCGCATAACAAGGTCCGCAAGCTTTTCTTGAGCTATGCTGTCGAAGGCTTTGGCAATGTCTATCTTAACCACATAGAAAGGGGTGTTCCATTCGTGTGCAACCCTAGTCAACTTTCGCAAAGAAAGAATTAGTTCAACTCCTTGCTTGCCTTTGCTTGCGAATTGTCTGTGACAACAGTCTTGCAGCAGGGGCGAGCCCCTCAGGAGGAGCAGCTGTGCAACCCATTTCAAAATGGCACTAGACAAAGTTATCGGCCTGGTATCGGACCAGGAAAGAGGTTGTGCCGTTTTCGGGAGGAGCACTGAGGCACCTGCAAGGATCCAAGGGGACAATTCCCCTTTGTAGAGGCTGTCATTAATCAATTCGGCAAGCTTGGGCCGCCAGGTGTCGTGTTCAAAGAGCAGCTTGAGCGCTTCTAGAGCGATGCCATCCGGACCTGTGGCTTTATGGTTTTTCCACTTTGCCATAGTGACACGCATCTCTGCTTCCGTGAAGGGCTTCCATGGCGTGACTTTACACATGCGGGTGGCTTGGTCACGCATGGCTTGCATAGAGGTTCTGGTCACCTCTGGCAATTGCTTGCAAAAGATGGAGGACATGTGCGTGCTGAGCTTGTGGGTCCATCCCGGGTCGTCCAGGAGGGAGGCAGCCCAGTCAGTTTTGGAGCTCTTTGCTTTAAGAGATCTTAGTGCATTCCAGTCATGGGAGCCGGCTCGCTCGGCGAGTTCTGCCTTCCAAGCCTTGCGTTCACGCTGCAGCTCTTTGGAGATGGTCTTCCAAGCTTTCCTATTGTCTGGTCCTGGGGGAATTCCCCGAACTGCACGCCTGAGGGATTTAAGGTGCCTACTCTCGTGGAATTTGAGGGAGCGGTGGGCTGGTTCCGTAATGCAGGCTGCCACTTCAGCGATGGCATGGTGAGGGTCGGCTGCTGTGCTGTTGAAGCTGTCTAGCAAGGAATGGCATTCGGCCTTGAGCTGCCGGGCACACCACACGACTCCCAGCTTGACGGGAGAGGGCTGGGGAACATGCGCAGTAGCGGCAATCGGCTCATGATCAGACGATGCTCTGTCTCGGGCCTGAAGAACCTTAGCCTCAGAGATTTTGACACCCCTAGTGGCAATGTAATCAAGTCGCCTCGCGGAGAGTTCGGGATTATACGGGAAATGGGAGGGGATGTGCATGCTTTGCAACGGCAAATGAACATCTTGTTCGAGGCACCACTGCAGGATTTGTTCGCCCCTAGCTGTGCAGGACAAAGTAGTGTTGCCTAATTCACCTCCAGGTTGGAGGAAGGTCTCATTAGCATCAAACCCCAAAATAATTTTGCCGCATTTGAGGGCAGGCATCTGCTCCCATGCTTGCAAGGCTTCGGCTGTCCTCTCAACTGTGAATCTGTGGGATACATGACCTGAAAGGAGGCCGATGGTTTTGGCGTTTGGTTGGCGGAGCACAGTGCTCAACGCTGCTATGCAAAGAGACGAGGACTCATGCATGCCGAGGGTTTTGCGGTAGGCAATGCCGCAGCCGCGCCACTCGGTGGGTAGTTTCCCATGGATAAGAACCCAAACATCATTAGCTTCAAAGAAAGGGCCACCCCCTACTGTGACTGTAATCTCTTGGAGAAAAAGCACTTGAAGGGCTGAAAGCGATGGGCAGCCGTGGAAACCGGTGAGCAAGTCGAGCACTTTTTCTGGGCTCAAACCCCCCAGGTTCCAGGTTGCAAAGGGCAAGGTCGCCGCTTCATGTTGACGCGGCTCAGGCACGTTAGAGTGACACGTTGAAGGGGCCATTTCCCCTTCGGCTTGGTAGGTCTCGTCCAATCAGCGGAGCGCCGCAAGGAGCGGCTCCCAGGTTTTTTCCAGGGCACTGCGTTCAATTCCAAGCTGGGCGGCAATGGCTGAGAGATCGATCCAGCCGCATCCCGCAGTGGATGCGCCGTGAGGGGCCGCGCTGCTACCTGAGGAGACCTTAACGTCTTTGAACCAGACTGTACCTGTGGCCCACTCGGGTTCAATGCGGTGCAGCGAGGGGAGACCCCCTGCCTCAATGATCAGTCGTTTGACTTTTCGTGCAAGTGCGGCGCGCCGGCGGCGCTCAGGTGGCTGGCTAATGGAAAGCCACAATTTGGCTGGATTGCCGTCGGGTTTGCGCCCGAGCGTAACATTTGCCGTATTGACACGGCGGATGCACGCTTGCACACGCTGCTTCATAGCCTCGTCGCATTCATCTGAGTTGGGGGCAATAGGAATGAGAACGAAGCCTCGTCTGACTCCTGGAACAAAGGCATCAGAAAGGTTCAACTGCAGTTGTAGATCTCGGGCCATCTCATTGGCCTTTTGGATCACTTCGCTGGCCAAAGTGTCCGGAGGCCAGCCACCCATCACGAGTGCTGGGATTCTCCCCGAATCAGCAGTGGACGGGGTGCTCCCCGAGGATTGCAGGTGCTTGACTGTGCCTTCGAGGAAGGAAAGCCTCCCGGAAATCTCTTTTGCATCGGTGGCAAGCTCTTCCAGGCGGAAACTTTGTTGAGCTTGAGCTGAGGAGAGTGTCTCGACGGCCTGAAAAGTGCGATCGTTGTGGGCTTGAAGTCCTCTTTCCAGTGCAGAGACTCGGTCGGTCACTCCTGAAACAGCGCCTTGAATTTCACCGCGAACAACTTCACGGATTGCTTCCAGGCTGATAGGCTCGGGCTCAGGAGGCGCTCCCCTTTTGCGCTGAGGCGAGTCCTGGTCCATCTGGTCTGCGGCTCCATTGCCTTTCCCTGCCATGGCGGTCGGGACGATGGAAAGCGCGGGGGCTTCCCCGGGAACAAGTGGTGGGAAGGTACTCCCGGATCGTATTCTCTGGCAGGAACTCCTGTAGTGTCGCCGATCACGAAGACGGCGTTAGCGTCAAAGTCCCGAAGGGGCACGGCCGCAGCGGTTCACGTCGTGGATTGTTGCACAACGATCTCACCGGCAGGAGCGGGGAGCTGGAAGAACACAGACTATTTGATGTCCCCGGGGAGCAATCGCGTCAGAAGAGAGACTGCGCAAGAGAAGAGTGCAGGCGGCCGGGTTTGAGGATCCGGGGGGCCTGTGTGAAGTGGAGAAGAGGAAGTAAGAAGAAAAGGGCGGAGCGGCCCCCTCGGTCCTTGAACCACTCGCGGCTTGAGCCAAAATGGCTACTCTCTCTCTCTCTCGCTCTCTCTCTCTTCTCTCGCTGCATTGCTTGCTTGCTTGTTTTCTCTCTGGGTCTTCCACGTGCTCGCTTGCTCTCCGGCCTCACGCGCCAGCAGGTCTGCCATGAGAGGCGCAAGGCCTGCGCAAGGAGGTGCGCAAGGCGAATTTGATGCGGACTTTGCCTCGGGCATTGGGCCTTCCTGGGGCAGTGGATGCGCGGGCATATGCCTCATGCATTTGCCCTCCGCGGGGCTAACACGAACATCTAGGAGCGGTGCAGCTTGTCGCGGCAACTGAGGCACACCGGACTGGACATGTCCACGCCCTGACTTTAAGACACTGAGGCCATCACGACCTCTTTTGCTTCGAGAGGGCTTGGCCGCAAGCTTGCAAGGCTTTGAAGTGGGCCTGGCGTGGACAGGTTGCCCACTCCAAGACCCGGCACGAAGCAAGAAGGCAACTGCGAGTCGTGAATCGGAGACTCGACAGCATCTTCGAAGCTCAACGGACACACAGCATGCTTAGCACCGTGAAAAAGCTGCCATGCTACAGCCCTTCACCAAAACTCTGCATCAACGCAACTACGGCCAACTGCCGGCACTTCACTTCAAATCAAAGCGAAGGTCATTCCTCTTTTGATAGGATGGGCCTGAACAGATTCCTGACTGCTTTGTGTGGACAACGTCAACGTGGAAAATACCGCACTGTGCTGGTCCCACCTCTTTGGCTGAAGGGGGTGGCACTAGCCTTGCACGCAACAACAACACAACGTTCTCATGAAGATCGTCTCCAGCTGCATGGACGTGGCTGTACTCTCTAGACTCTAGCCCGGCCTTAGCCACGACAACATTAGGTGCGCCTGGTCACAAGAGACAAGCGCCTGAAGCAGTAAGCGTGGCTTGTGCTCGCCCAGCCTGCTTGGAAAAGCTACTGCCGCGCAATCGCGAGATGGTGCAGTCTGCGAGAGCCTGGCGGGACATCTCGCACGCAAATCGGCGCTTGAAGCATTGCGGGTGACTTTTGTGTAGGATCGCGGATCATTGCCGGGCTTAAGGGATGCACTGATGCACATGGCCGCTTGCCAAGGTTGCGTGCACCGCAAGGGTCCTGGTGCAATTGCGTAACAAAATTGGGTCCCGGCCGCGGCGACAGGGCGATAGCGGCAACAACACAGAGTATGGCTATAGGCTATAAGTATAGATGTTGCAGGATCTGAGCTACACGACGACATCTGGCCTCCAGCTCCTTGCCGGTGAGGCCCGGGCTCGGGAGCCGTGCAGCTGCATGAACCTGGTACGACTCCGCAGGAACAGCTGGCAAGCACATAGTGGACATCCAAGACAAGGGCCAAAAAGCGGAGCGTGTCCACTGTAATGTCCTCGCGCACCTGTATCACCAGAACGAGCAAAGTCTGAACAAAATTGCTCCACGCAGTCCCACTCCGTTCTTCACAGCTTTTCATCCATCATGAACCCGATCCGTGACCTGACAAAACCGCTCGCCACGTTTCGGCCCCATAGCCTGTGGGTCCTCGACCAACTCCGTCAGGAGCGGCTGCAAGACCGCCGGCATCGCGTCGATTAGCCGAGTGTCCTTTCGCAACAGCCAGCGGAGCGGTTTAACTGTATCACGACCACAGCGAGGACGAAACCAATCACCTTCCTCAATTCCATCACCACAGCAGCACAAGGTCAAGGCCGCCGCCACCACGACAACCACCATCAGCAACAACACAACAACTACTGCCACTATTACTACTGCTACGACTTCTTCATCTTCCGCATCAACACGCCCCAGCCGGAAGTGGGGACAAATGCTCAGCAAGCGAAGACGTGGGGTAGAGACGACGTGCCGAGCAAGTAACGTAGCCAAAAGCAACTCGACAGTCGTCCAGCAGGAAAGCTTTTGGCTCGCCTGAGAGCCGACACCATGAGCATCAGAATGGGTTTCAATTCCAAACTTGGCCCCGCCCACATGGCTACGACGGGCCCGGGCGATCCCTAAATCTCACTAAACCCAGATTAAGTTAGGCTTTAGCCCGACTTTGTTGCCTTTGTTCACCAGCATCTTCAAAGAGGAGCGACTCTAAGCAAAAGATACTGCCGCTTGCTGTGGTACGTGTCTTCCAGGCTTCTGCTCAGGCGGAGTCCGTGTCCGCCAATGCAGTGGCAATCAGGACGGACTGGAGGTCTCAGCTGCGCCGAAGTGCTTACAGTCACAGCAAAAACATCTTCAGCATCCGGTGCAATGCTCAGGCAGTGACGGTTGAGGCTCCACTGGCCCTCCAGCAGGCCGTCGCTGATCGCTTCGTACAGCAATCGGTACTGCGGCGTGATGTGATTTCAAAAACCACGCAGGGCGACAAGGCCCAGCTGTCGCAAGCCCTTAATCACAAAACCTTCAGCTCGCACATCATGGATACAAGAAGAGTGCAGTTCTGAGCCGCACTGGTGCATCTCTGCTTCTCTCGCATGCGTTATTGCGTCCTCCGGCAACTGGGGTGTAACCTTCGAGAAGGCGTAGAACACGGTGGTAACCTCGCCACAAGCCGCCGAAGACGGGTAGCCGATGGTAACTGTAGCTTTGAATGGGGCAGCGACTTCATCGGCTCTCAAGTTCTCCCTGAGTCGGGCCGAGTCCGACGCTTCTCCTGTCTTCTGATCAGACTCGTACCGGGGTGCAGCGAAGCCTTGCAAGCCTCGCGGCTTGAGGCGCCAGGAGAGTTCTGACGCCAACGCCGAAGCGACGCCGCCAACTGCCTGGCCACGCCTTGGGTTCAGGGATCGCGAGGGAAGGCACGCGAATTTTCGTCTAGCATAGATGCTGCCAGATTTACCCATCAGCTGAAGCCTCAGTGTCCAATCCCCGTAAGCAGTCTCCTGGGCCAACGGCTGGCCCAAATGACTCGAGCATTGCACCAGTTGCGCGTGGCTTAGATAGGGCAGTGCCTGGCGCAAATGTGAGGACGCGGCGCAATGCACTTTCCCTGAATATCGGAGACGTGACTGCTCTGCTGAATCGAGCGGCAGGCAACTGCAACTGCCAAACCCCAAGTAGCGACCCGCCTGCAAGAAGCGTGGAAGTTCCACGCCTTGGCTGTGCCCAAACAAGGAGACGGCTCTGCATGGCACTGACTGGGCCCTGGGATCCGAGCCGTAGCCAGCCGGCTCTGCCTCGGGGCCTTGGACGACGGCCTTCAGAACGCTCGCAGCCTCGGAAGAACGGAAGCTCGCAGTGCTTCAAAGAACAAGAACCGGGCACCTGCTGCGCCAGTCCGGCGCCCGCTCGGCGAGCGGCTTCCCGCGTCAGGGGCCTCGCTGAGGGGCTTCAAAGCTCGCTTCTTCCACGTCGTACGGCGCTACGGTGTCTGGCGTATGCCTCGCAAGCGCTGACGGCATGCTGCAACTCCAGCTGCAGCGCTCTCGCCTTGAAAGCAAGTCGCATCAAAACCACACTTATACAAAGATTCGCGCAAGGGCACAGAAGTGGTCGCTATAGCATGGTATTTCTCGCCGCTCCTTCTAACTCTAAGGCTTCTGTAGTGTCAATGTCTGGCGAAGGATGCTGTGCCCAAGTCAACTGTAAGCCTAGTGTGGCTGACTCAACTGACCCCCGAGCCCCGTCTGCTGCAAGCCCGTTACGGGTAACACCACAACGACGACTACTACGACGACTACTACTACTGCTGCTGCTTCTACTGGTGCCGCTGCTAATACCACCAGTGTTTACGAGTGCTATAGTACCAGTACTCAGGGTACGAGAACTAGTAGCAGCAGTACTAGTAGTCGTCGCCGTAAATGCAGTAGCCGTCGTCGTAGTAGTGTAGAAGTAGAGGTGGTAGCAGTAGCAGTGACAGTAGCAGTAGGAGAAGTAGTAGCAGCAGCAAAAGCAGCAGCAGCAGCAGCAGTAATCATCGTCGTAGTGGTAGCGGTAGTGGTAGTGATGGTGGTAGTGACGGTACTAGTGATGTTGGCATGTGTATTTGTACTTGTATTGGCATTGGCATCGGTATCGCTATTGGTATTGGTAGTAGTAGGTGTTGTTGTTGTCGTCGTAGCAGCAGTAGCAAGAGCAAGAAAACAACAGTTGGTGCTTGCAGCCCCATGGTGGTGTTATCTTACGATCGATGCACCGCCAAACCGGGCTGCGAGTATGTAACATTTATCCTGCCGGGCAAGCGTCGTTACCATACCTTGATAAGGGTGGCTTCCAGATCCGACCAAGCAGCAATTAGGAGCTCATCAAGTTGACCGAGCGACCTTAGCGGCGATTCACCAGCGGCATGATTATATGACTATATGCCTATATTGATTATGTCACACCATGGAATCGCAAGAACCCGAGGCTGCAACAATGAAACTCAAAACGAGCCGCCAGGGTGGGAGATGAAGCTTTGCGAGCTTAACACGTCCTAAGCTTGACCAGTCTGTAAGCTTCGAGCTGCTGCCGGACTAGCTGGGGTGGAGGTTGGGGGGTAGAGGCAACTGGCTGAGGGCACGGAGGGAGCTCTAAGGAAGCCCTGAGCCGAAGAAACGGGCGAAGCTTTGTGCAAGCGCTGTGCTCCTGCCGAAGTGGATCCTCTCATGATGGAATCAAGTGACGAGCTTATTCTCTTCGCCGTGATGCTGGAAGGAGTGGCACAAGAGGCCGCTTCCAGCAAGACCACAATGTTGCCTGCTGAAGTTGATCAGCAGACTAAAGACTGAAGTCTTGAGTCACTAAAGCCAAGGTGCACATGCCTTGCCGATTGTAGCGCCGTTATGGTCAAGCAAACCAACGAACTGCGCGGGACACGTGTTCGCAGGGGCCGGGGCACAGTCCATGCCCTCACTATTCACAGAGTAAGTGAAACATCTTCGCCCCTGTGCCGCGGCCCCGCGAAGCACGAACAATCGGTCTACCGCCGGCCACGTCGCCATCTTCGCCAGGCTGGTTGCTTAACAACTACGGTGTTGATCGTGCAGCATGTTTAGCTCGACTGATTTTCTCTAAAACCGGGCAAGGGCAAGGTGCGACAAACACAAGGCCAGCCGGCTCGACAATCTTCGTTCCGTTGCTGCTTTGCAGCTTGAACGAAATCATTGAACCATGCGCACCACCCTGTCAAGGGAACAGGGCGCACAGACTGCTCTGGGAGAGTCTTCAAGAAACCGATTTGGCATTCTTTGCTATACCACACTCTTGAACAGGACAAGCATCATGCAGGACGCAAGGGATCTGCACCCATGGCCCGCTCTATTGATTGTATAAAGGTGTGTGACTAGCTGCTGCAGAGTTGCACATGAAGACATCGTACCCATCATCTGTGAAGAAGTAGCTCTGTTGGCATGATTGAACGAAGCAATGCACCGAAGGCGATGCAGGCATGAAGAGACGAAAAAGGTTGCCTGTTTCAAAAGGAACATCCCACCGGGAGATTTCCGATGGGCCGGGCGACAGCCCGTGCAGAGTCACATGCTTCAGCCGATGGGTCCAACCCGAAAGGTCAGGCTGCACAAAGGTCGTTTGGCTGCACCTACAGCAAGTCTGTCTCAGGCAGGTGATGCGAGTCTGCCTAGCAGGCATGTTGAAAAGACTGGCACAGGCCACCCATGCAGAGCAGAAGGTGCCGCTGTACAAAATGTTGAGCTTGCCCATCTCGCGCTCAAAGCAGCGCGGTATCTGGTCCAATCTCAAGAATCTAATCCACTCAATTCCACCAACTAACTGGGACATCCCCAGTTCAGAAATCATTATCTACCCAGCCGCGCAAGCCGCGCTGGCTCAGGCTGGTCTGAGCCTTGTCCGAGGCCTGCGGGCAAGAAGGCACTCTGCACAGACGACCATCGATCAAAGCGCATGCGGCGCTTTGGGCTTTGGGCGATTTGTCAGCTCCCGGCCTGCCCTGTGCGATGCGAAGTCGATCGTCAAACACTTAAGCACCTCCTTCCTGAGGTTGGATTGAACTCTTCGCCCATGCAGGTTGAGGGGCCTGGCTTGAGAGGGCAGGATGCAGCTAGAGCAAAGCTCTTGTCTTTAAGTGGAGTTTGCACAGAGAGTTCGGGAGTGCTTGCTTCCCGGGCCTCTGGCGGCGGCACGATGAAGAGCCCCAGGCTCTGCGCCTCGCGGCATTTGATCTGAAGTCTCGCGCTCGCCGTGTCCAGCTCGACTTGGTCTCACCCGGCCTTGCCACCCTCGGCGCCAGGGAGCGGTGGCAGATCCCCGGCCTGCGCAGTCGTCGGGCGCGTTTCGCGACTTTTTCAGAAGCATCAACGAGATCTGCGAGACGCTTGAGTCAGTCGGAGGAATCCGTGTGCAGAGTGCAAATGAGCTCGGCCTTGCGAGGCCTCCCAGAAGGCCAGTGACCACTGGCCTCCTCTGCACCGTAACCTGCCGGTTGCATTCGTGTGTTGGAAAGGAACCTGGTGCAAACGTGACATACCTCGAATGCGAATGAATGCTTTAGTTGTACCGAGGCGAAGACCTACTTCGCTCTCCCAGCTAGGCTGCTGCGAAGGCAAAGTGCATCTTTCGAAATCGCCCTGGCGGCGCCTTGCAATCTCCCGGGAGGCCCGGGTGAGTAGAAAAATGCAGTGAACTCAGTGGGCTGATGCTGACGTTCCCAGCCTGTCTGCCGCAGGGCTCTTCTGCCACCAAACCTTCCAGACATGACATCAACTGAGACAGGACGGCCTTGCTGGCATCTGCTCACTGGTTAAGCGAACATGGACCGAAAGAAGCTGGTGGAAGAAAAGGTGCACCTCGGATTTGCAGGAATACTGGGTGCTGTGGCCTGGCATCGAGACGACTTCTGTCAGAGTCAGGCTTCGATCAGCGATCAACCTTCAACATGTCTCCTCCTCCTCTATTCCACCCTCCACCCCTGCCCGCAAATCCACGCTTGCACGTCTCATTCTCATCGTCCGGAGAAGACTCGTCAAAACTCACTTCATTCGCAAGCTTGTTAGTGCTGCTTATGAGGGGCTTGCTTTGAGCCATCACTCGTTCCTTCCCTTCGGCACTTGCAATACAACACAGGGCCCAACCCCATGTCTTTGTCTCAATGTGCGTCTCAGCTTCAAAGTTTCCATTCGCTCACGGTTATGAGGTCCGGCTTGTCGCAACAAGGCAACCGGACCTATATAAAATGATAAGCTGATAGTACCCGAGGATGTAGCTAGTATTTTTGTTGCAAGAAGCATCCAGAACATTCATCCAAGGGTCATCAAAATCATACCATCTGATGCGGCCTGCTGCACAGCCCAGGTGATGTGCCCTGGACGGACCTGTGCAAGAGCTTGATTTGTGAATGGTGCAAGGCACCACAGAATGGCTGCTACTAGTACACAGAATCTCAGCCAGCTGGCTATATGTAGTGGCGACAGCGCCAGCACTTAACAGAAAACATTGAATAAGAAATCCAGCCCCTGGATTTGGGCGAACATGTGCTAGAATCTGCCCTACCTCCGAAACCCAATTTCTTATCCAAGTTCATAAATGCTGCCCCCAAGACCAGAAGCGCAGGACCCTAAACACGTTTTACAGTACATTGAAATTTTGGCTGAAGGCTTCGGGATTTAAAGCATCAGGTTAAAGGGGACAGGAATGAGTGCAGCACGAAAAGCCTCAAAACTTAGCGGAAACCCCAATGGACGGGTTTAGGATTCCTGCAGCAAATCGAGAGTTTCGGAATCCGCCCGAAGGCAATGGGTGGAGGGTTGAAGATTTGATATGGATTTCCCAAAAACAGAGGAAATAAGAACTCCAGGGGCTGGATTTCTTATTTCCTGGTTTTTACTAGCTCAAGAGCAGCTCATCGGCGAGAGTTTCGGAGTTCGCCCGAAGTTGTGCCGCGTTTTGCTGCACAGGGTGGCGCGCTACATTGGCCGAAAGGGGAGGCGGAGGCGGTGGAGGATCAATGATCTGAATATCGCCATCCTCTAATAGGCGGTTTGTTGCCGCCCCGGGCTCTTCGTTCATGTATGGCCCTGGACGGCGTCAGAGGCGCACGATACGTCTCCAACAAGAACTCCAGTCCAGGGTACTCTGGCGGGTATCACTTCTGACCCTAAACAGAGCGCCATCTAAATAAGAAATCCCGGGTACCCTGCCTCGGATACAGGAGTTTCTTATCCCACGCCGTCACTGTATAGGGTGAGGGCCTATCACTACGACTTTTGGATGCAAGTCTGCTGTCGTGCACACTGATAGTACCACGAACCTCCAGGTTTAGTCTCTACCAATGTTGTTTCATGGTAGCACCTGGCCCACTCTGAAGGTGGAAGCGTTGGTCGGCTGTGGAGTCGTCCATCCGCCTGCAGGCGCAACGGTCCATAACTTCGCTTCATCCATCATTCCACTGCGCTCCCACCTCCCAACAATTTGATGAGCAGCGTCACAATGTGCTTTCCAGAACTACTGCTTCCTGAGCTCCCGGGCTCGAATTCCAACCTGGCCGAAGGTGGTCGCCTTCGCTTCTTCAGCAGTCACAAGACCCCTTCACAACGTGCCTTTGCACTGCCGGCTCCGCACATCTTGCTGCAATCACAAGCGGCTCCACCCCGCGCCAGTTGCGGCCCTGGGCACGCGGTCGCGGGACCTGCCAAAGTCCGAAATGGCTTCACAGATCTGCTCGAGGGCGTTACACTCAATGCAGAAGCAGATCTGCATCGCTACATCCGGCTCCTGGGCTGCAGATCTGCCCGCCGTTTGTGGTCTCGACCGACCAGAGCTCAAGCTTGAGAAGCCTCAGGACCGATAAGTAGCCATGGGAGCCAACTGCTGACATGACTGATGCCAGGCCGGAGCATTTGAGGATTAAGATGATTTAAGATCTATGTGCTGTGCGCTTGGTACAGAGGGGAGCTAGCCTTGTACTCTTCATGGCTACTCTGTGCCGTTAAGCCTTCAAGCCATCATCGTCGTCACCATACCTATGCTCTCCTCCTGCACACCTTTCTCTCCTCCGTGCCCCTGTTAGTCGATCTATGTATTTTGCTACCATACAATTGTGGCGGGGGGGGGGGGGTGAATCTGATAAGGATCTTTGCGCTCATGTAGGTGATGAGCTGAAGAAGACGAAGCTGAGTATCATGATAAAGACGAAGACGACAACGACGACGACGGCGGCGACCATGGCCAGTGACCATGCTGATGCTGATGATGATGGCGACAGTGGCAATCCTAGTCGTTGTTTTAGTGATCCGGGCTATGGCCTTCTTGACAGTAAGGCTGGTATCCGTGATTGTAAGAGAAGCAGCTAATGATGACGACGAGGGCGATTATGATGACAGTCGTCATCATCTTCTTGTTATCAAAAGCGCTGTCCTCGTCTTCCTCGCGACAGTCACCACCCTTTACAACACCCCTTGAACCATCGAAAAAACATCATCTATCCGTACACATCTCCACTATAATCAATCATCGTGGCAAGCATCTGCACTGTCATCGCTTCAAGCATCACCTCCATTCACCTCTGCCTAATCATCATAACACCGTTATCATCGCCATCGTCATTTTTATCAGCACCACAGTCGTCGTTACTTCCTCTCACCCGCCGTGATAGATCAACGACGTCGGCCCAACGAGACGAGCTATGATCGGCGGACGAAGCACACAGGAGCAGGTACTGTGAAAGGGCAAAAAAGAGCATGAGAAGCCTGTTGTTGCTATTGGGATCCTCGATGTAGACTTGCCGTCAGAATTACTTGCCTGGCCTTTCATGATTTGGAGTTTACGCATCCCCTGTTTCCAGGCTTTTCACCTACCTCACAGCATGCTTCTGTAAAGTCTCTTGTCCATGACATGTAGAAGCAGAAAGGATACTACGGTAGTACAGCAGTACGGTAGCAGTATAGTGGCAGTGCTACCGTAGTACAGTCGTAGGACAGAAACAGCGACGTAGCACCGTAGTAAAGAATTAGTTGGTAGAGCAGAAGCCGAAGCGACAATGCCCGGCAGGTTTCTTTACTAGCTGATATACGGCAGTGGTGCTCTGTGGGGTTGTAAATTTTCGCGTGCTGGAGCTTCTTCAGCACCCTGATTAGCCAACCCAAAGGCACTAGCAGGGAGGCACAAAAGGCGATGCACACGCTGGGACTGTGGCAGCCACCAACAGAAGATCTATGCTCAGTTGAAAACTAGTCTATCAGCTCCTGTTACTACTACTGCCACTGCCACAGCTACTTGCTGTCATGACAGTGACGCAACCCGCTTGCTCTTGTACTGATGAAACATGACGACTCATAATCATATAACGCTGTTCTCCTCTGTCTGGGCGAATTCCACTGCAACAGTTATTGGAAGTCGGAAGTCGCCCCATCGCTCCGCTGAGGTCGTCACCTCGCTGATTTGCGTCCGTCAATCTTGGCCCGCTGACCGAAGGCACCCCCTGCGCTGGACAGTGGATGTTGGTCAACGCGTGGCGAGCTCACGCTTGTGGTGAATCCAAAGGCCCAAAGCAAAGAAGATCCCCACAACTTTGCGGGTCACCTCAAGCCCGAGGAGGCTGGCTTCCTCGAGTTGCCTCGCCAGGCTTCGGAGGCGCTCACGAAGGACCATCGCAATCTCGCCTGCGCTTCGCCGCTTGGATAATCTTCTGCACCTGGACGAAGCCAGAAAGTGGCTCTTACCGCTACAGTACAAGGTACTAGTAGCGCAAGTTTCCGCCTCCTTGTCAGATCGGCTCGAATCTTCGCCTGGCAGAAGTTGCCGCTTCACTGCGTTCGGGGCCCCAGTTTGGACAAAGGAGCGCCTCGTGGAGTCCCGGCCGGACGTGATGCCTTGGGACGCGGCAACTCAGAGCCGAGGTGCTCCTCCCAAGGTCCAACAAACATGTCCCCAAACGGACTGCAATGGAAAGCAGTTGGGCACGATGGGGCACGCAGGGCACATGGAATGGGGACTCCGCTCAGAACCGCCGCTCCTGGAGCGGCGGGGTCGCGGATCGCTGGGCACGCTGGAAGATCATGCGCCCACGCCTCGCTAAAATTTCTCTCGGAACCTGACCGATAGAACCATGCCTGTCTCTAAACCCACCTCCCCGAACTGTGTGCTCACAATGATGCCCGGATTTCGGGTTTGAGCGAAACTTCAAAACGATTGCAAACCCCTACCGCACTCTTGGCGTGTCTTGGCGGCTTGTCAAATTTATACGGTGCTGCCGCAGTACGATTGCCGAAAGCTGCCGGAGAAGTCGCTGCTGTTTGAACCGCGCGAATCCTCAGATCCCATGTGATCCAAACATGGCGACAGGACATGTGCGCCTTCTCCCTACGCAGGCGATCCAGGCCAGGGCACCGGTCGTGGTGAGGCATAGCTGCGCTCGCAGCTCGGTTCCCGAGTGCTCAAAGCCTGCAGAGAGCGGATTGCCCACAGTGACTGAAACGCACCGTGAAGCGTTGCTGGGATCCGAGCTGCTGGTGAGAGAGGGCCTGGTGAAACCCAACCTTCGGCTTGCTAACGAAGTGCTGCAGGCATGTCAAGCCCCTCAGCTGAAGCACTGAAATTCTGGCCTTCGGGCAAAGGACCTCAAAGCACAGTGACAGTGCTTTAGGTGTTCCTGTCTGCCTCGTGCCCCTGACAACCTTGGGTATATGCACATCATGAAGCCTCCAGCATGTCCCCTCTTGGCATACAAGCTGCTGAATTGGCCTCTTTGCCAGTGCTGCATTCACTACACTTTTTTCCCCCAAATCTGAGCCCCCTGCCTTGGTTGTAGTAGTCTCCACGGATGCCAACCAGGCCGTTCTGCTTCGAAAACGAGTGCCACGCTGTGAAAGCTTCTCATTTTGCCAACCGCTTGCAGGACAAATAGAATGGCAAGTCACCGGCTTCGGCCAAGTTAACGACTTCTGAATCCTTTCGATTCCACCGGCGAAAGCTCGGTTCGCAACATCCCCAGACCCTCAACCAACATGGATTTTCCATCCGATCATGAAGAACGGAGAGCATCTGTAGCAGGCAAAACTAGACTTCATCGTCAGCGTAAGGCGAGCCCTGAGCTGGGCCTTGAACTTGATGGGCTCTCTCAAGACTGTTGCGTCTGGCTCCTCTGGACGATGTGACAAGGCCAACTAGGATCACTGTTTTGCAGACCCCGCATTCTGGTGTTGACAAATTTTTGTCAACACCAGGATGGACCCTTTATGCTGAAACAAGACTATTTTCGTTCCAACTCTACGAGCCTCGACTCCAGAATAAACACAAAATACAGCTACTGTACAGCCTTGGAGAAAGCGGCCAGACCACAGGGGGCTTGCTTCGCGCAGGATGCTTTTGGGTTGATTGCGCTCGAGATTGCAAATTCAAGTGATGCTTTGAACATTGGGGTTTCTGCGGAGCCATTAGTGTCATGGGCAACACAACCAATCTAGCCTCAAATTTTCCAACAACCCATAAAGCATCATAAAACTTTAAGATCTTTTCCAAACCCGGGCCAGTCATGGCTCAACAGACCCGAGCTGCTGCATAGCTGGTGCTCCTGCTCGGGCACACACCTGAGACGTTCCGGCCCGGGGCATCGAAAATCGCTCAGTTGCTACATGGCCTGTCAGGGGATGTTCACCATCTCTTCTATTTCATCTAGCTTGTCTTCTCACTACCGGCAAGGAAACAGGATGGGTTACAACGCCAGCTGCTAGCCTTTGGTGCTTCTCTGAGAAACTGAGACCTACTTGTACTAGTATGCGACATGTTGATTCAGCCTGTAGATTCTACTGTAGATGCCCACGTTTCACATCAGCACAGGTTTGCATGCTGAGAGCGGCGCTGCATGAGCTCGTCATCGTCCATCGGCAACTGCGACAGAGCTCTTATCATCACACTCATGAAACACGTTTCTGGGGGTGGGACTGTCGCGGAACATTCCAGAACCAAGACGAACACAAGCAGTACATTTGAATATGTCCACTGGCGTCTGCAGCAGCTTGTCTGCACCGAAGTTTGGCCTGGGAATTCTCAAGCGGTGGATGTCGGGTTCGTCTCCACCTTAGTGAAACATGCAGTTCCGAGCATGTCAGAATGTCAGACCCTTTCTTGAAGACTGCGCGACCCGATGTTCCCCAAAGCCAGGAAATCTGGAGCTTCTTTCGCACTCGGCGTGACGTAATGAACTCCTCTGTGCCTTCAGCACCTGGAGCTATTGGATTAAGTTGCCGTCTATCACGGACACCCGTGTCGATGTGTGAGTATGCTTGTCGGGCAACTTCCGTAAAGTGAACGAATTGGAGTCCTCTTTAAAGGAAACTCACCCGATGCAACAGGCGCCAAGGAGTTCTCCGAACAGAGCCAAGCTCTCAGGCTCTTTGCTTGAGACCTTGCATGAGTCGCTTGAGCTTCTGTTGGAAAAACTCCCTGGTCCTCCCGTGAGACGCAGGCAGATCAGGCCTGCACAAACACAAGAGCAATCACCAGCCGAAGACGAAGTGGGACATGACCTTGGAGGTTTGTAGAACCCTAGACTGAGTAAATGTAATATGCTGCGGGCTGCCTGGCGTCTGCAACTTTGGCTGCAGCATTAAATAAACAGAAAGCGTCACCCTCAGGGCCCAGTTTCGTCGTATTCGTAAAGAACAGAATTTTAAGTGCTGTCTTAAAAAAATATCACAATTAATGCGCATATGTATTTCCTACTGATTTGAAACTCAATTAAAATATACTAAAAACCTGTAAAAAAAAACGCTCGTTTACTCGAGAAAGGCCCTCACGCCGACGCACACTCTAAATCAAAGCAAACGTGATGTCAACGGAAAGCAGCTGGGTCTACGGAAAGCAGCTGGGCCAGGAACAAGCCCATGCTCAACGCAATGGCAGAGAGCCTGGCAATGGCAGCAACTGTGCCAAGAAGACGAAAACGATAACCACCACCACCACCACAACCAAAACCACAGCAACAGCAAAAACCACGCCCCATCGGCACCACCAAAACCACCACCACCACCACCACCACCACCACCAACAACAACAACAACAACAATCATAGCAGCCCAACACCAACTGCCAACAGCAACACCAACAGTACCAGCACCAGCACCAGCAGCAGCAGCAGCAGCAGCAGCAGCAACAGCAGCAACAGCAACAACAACCACAGCGACGTTGGCGACGACCGACATCGACCGACCGACAGCGAAAACGGCAACGACAACAAGATGATGAACATGAGAATAATGAAAAATGACGAACATGAATATGCCGCAGCTGTTCAAACTCCGTTCACGACCGACAACCACCGCAACGACAGCGAAAAGCACAAGCAAACGGCAATACACAGCGGCTCTGCTACATTTCGCTGCAGGCCTGGGCAGCGCAGCTACAGTTTACAGTGCACCATGAGAGTTCCGTCGCACCTCTCCGGGATCATCTCGGGCAGCACCTCCGAGCTTTGCAAATACATGCTCGACGTCTTGCTGGCCATCTTGCAGATACGAGACCGCACGAACGATGCTGAAGCACACAAAGCTTCTCTGCAAAAGCCGAATTAAAAATGCGATCATGGAGACGGAGTGGTGCATGAGTAGTACGCAAGAAATAGAATATGCCCCGAGCTCGCTGAGAAGGCCTGCAGCTACGTGCAAGGGCAACAGGTGCTCTTCACGGCCGTGGACCTGCAAAAACACTCGGGTCTGTCAATACATGTACATGCTAAAGTGGCCACCCTGTTGGTGATACTCCCTCCTGGTGCAAGCCACAGAATCGAATTATGATGCAAGTTTGGGATTTAAGCCACTCGTCCGCCAGCACGGCCGGCCGGCCTCCCTGGCATGCGGCAACGTAGAAGTCCAGGTCCGCAAGCCTTCAAAGCCTTGAAGGCCACCGCACGTGCTTTCCAGACTGCCCACATGTTCTGCAGCCGTCAAGCTGACAGGAGGTTGTCTAAGCCAAGAGGCGTTCCTCCGAAGAAGCGCTGCAAAGCCGTGTCAGCTCCTCTGTCCACCTGCTTCGGATTGGTTGCTGTTGGCAGAAACCGACTCGAGCAAATGCCTCTCGAGCCGCTCTGGCTTTGTGGCGGAGTTGGTGGATAGCCCGCTGCCCAAGATCAATACCCCGCGAGACCTCGTTTTCTCCCGAGCAAGTCCGTCCCAGACTCAAGGGAGTGTTGCTAACACGGCTAGCACCTCAGGACGTCCTTCCAAGGGAACCTCCAAGTGGGCCGCTGACCGCAGCGGCGATAAAGCTCTGCCCACCTTTCAGGGAAAGCTTGTCCGTTTGAGTTGCGCGCAGATAAGCAAGCGTTCTGGCAGCGTGCGCTCCTCCAGACACTGGCGTGCAAGTTCGGAGCCCCGGCGACCGTGAAAGCCGGGGAGGCTGAGCTGCACCACAGGCACGGAGGCCAAGCTGGGCCTCAAAGAGATGCGACGATGCTGCTCCGTCCACTCAGCGTGTCCGACCGTTCCGAGATGCATGAGCAGAAGTGGAACGAAGACACCATGGTCCTCAGGAAGAGCTTGCAGTGTGTCAGTGTGTCGCTACTGTGACATCGTCAAGGCCGATGTTGGTGCAGCCGAGGTCACCAACGCTCGGGCAGAGTTAACGCGGATCTCCTAGTGGCTTTCTGCAATCGCCGCACGCAGCCGCACGCATCCGCAACATGGGCCCGCATGCGTTTTGTTGCTCCTGGTTCGCTTCCTGAAGAAGGTCAACCACCCAGCCAGACCTGAGCCGGATGCGCAGGTCACTCATACAAGGCCTCTGCCTCTTTGCGGAATCCGGCCCGAGCCCCCAGCACTTGAGGATCGCCAGGTGGATGGTAGCGGTGGTGCACCTGCTCGAACCCGGATCATACGTTGAGGGCATCGTATTCCACTCTGCAAGGCTGCTAGTCAGCCGAAACGACCAGGTGCAGGCAGAGTGGGTGTGGGGATATCGCGCTCGGGTGGTGGTCTTCTTCGAAGTTTTCTCCGCAGAAGCACCAGCAGCACTAGCATTGTCCCTCCGACTCTACTTTCTCTTCGCCTCCACCTCTGAGCCTGGCCTAGCCAAGCCTTGCCTCTTTATGCCGGAAACGACGACACACCGAGAATTTCAGCCACGGCCTCGTACATCTCTTTGGATGCTCCGGCATAATCATAAAGTAGACCTGCCACGCAAACTGCTCATGCGCAGAGCTTGTTGCAATAGCATCTTAGCATCCATCCACATCCACTAGCTGCACTGGCCGCTGGCTGCAGCTTCACAGTCGCAGTGGCACAAAACCCTTCGGAGGACCAAGCCGAACCCTGGAGCCCTGGAGGCCTTGAGCATGAGTCCGGCGCAAGGTCACCTGCAGTATCATGCGTCTCGCAAGAGCCACAGGCATGTTGGCCCTGACCTCAAGCCCGTCCCTGCTCTCCCAATGCGCAGATATCACGAGGATGCACCGCACCTGCAGGGAAAAAACGGCACTTCTGCATTCGATCTCGGACTTTGTGGAGGTCGAGGCTTCGACCAAGTGCTCATCCAGCCGCAGCCTGCTGCAAGATGCAGGCTTTTTGCAAGCCCCCACCCGCCTACGTCTCCGCTGGTGCCTTTGGGGCAGCTCGGCAAGGCTGCGCGGGAAGGGTGCAGAGGGGTCCCGCAGAAGAGGCATCGGCCCGAGGCCATGCGAGACGAACCTCGGCAAGCGGCGGGAGGGAAGCAACGACACTCCAGAACCTGCCACAAGTAGGACTCATTCCAACAGGCGAGCAGCAACGTGGGCAACGGATCGCTGTCCACCGGACTGATCACGATCTCCTTGGCTCGAAGCTGACTCCAGACCACATGCCAGTCTCTCGAGGCAAAAGCGATGCTGCGATGCTCTGGCGAGGTTCTGCTGGCTGGAAGGCCCTGTGGAAGCACTCGGCCCTCAGTTCACAGCTGCGACTCGTGTGAGCTCAAGCCGAAGCCAAGGACACGCGAACGCGAATGATGTCTGGGTCTTGCATGCCGCCAAGCTGCTGAACCTCAGTCTCGGCTGTGACCAACCCGTAGTGTACTGATATAGTGGAAGGCATGTTGGGCAAATGACATGGGCAGATATCGATATGACATTTCGAAGAGGGCCGAAAGAGTTGGAACTCGCGCTGGGGTTGGAGATTATTGTCAGCAGTGTGGCGAATGCGTTCAAGCTGCTGTCCCGCGGTATGCCGCTGCCCCATGCGGCCCCTTCTTCTTCCCACGATGGCGGGGGCCTTCCACGTCCTCATCCTGGAAGGAAGCCGAATTATAATCAAAAACACAGAGCTTCGCAGCTCCAGGTGTGCGAACACATGGGCTCTCTGCGCAGCTGCACATGCTTCTCTGAGTTAAAATGCGCATTGGCGGTGGTCGGTTGGGTTTGGCTGGAGCTGGGGCAGGGCGGCTGCATGCATTTTCTCTATCTGTCTCTTTTCCTTAATAAAGGCAACGCCACCTTTGCCGACCCGCGCCCGGGCGCTGTGTTCTTGACAAAGAGTGTGTTTCTTCCAAGCGAAATTCACATGTTGTCGGGCGAAGGCAACTGTTAGAGAGATGGTTTCCCGCACAAAAACAAACTGCTTCTTGCAGTCCTGCATGCTTTGGTGGTGCTGTCATAGTTTTCGTTTTGTTTGGGATCTCCGCTTCTGGGATCAGTTTGTCATGATCACATGTAGTTACTCTCTGAAGAGAGATAGGATACGGACGAGAAGCACCGGGGCTGAGGGATTCAAAAGTATGTAATGATCAATCCATAACATTTTGGGGTCAAACAGCCCAAATAGTGACCACAAAACATTAATGTATCACATTGCCTGGAAGGTATACTGTACAGACTACCAAAATATGGGATCAAAGAATATGAAACAGCAACAAGACACAAACGAACAAGGGTCAACACCACGGTAGCAATCGTCATTGTAGGAGGGATGGTAGCACGAGTAGCAGCAGTAGGATCATTGCCCTTTTGCACCGAACCAGAACCACAAGGTTTAGATCCACAGGGCTTTTTCGACAGAGTTGGCTTCTAA